AACTTGTTGTTGGCAACAAATTCCATCAAATTTTCAAATTTCCCTTCATACAAGCTGCTTCTGGAAATAGCCCTCTAGTCTGAAGAAATGTTATACTCTTTTTTCAAAATGAAAAAAAAAAAAAAAAAAAAAAGAATCACAGAATGTTGGGGAGGGTTGTTTTTGTTTTTTGTTTGTTTGACATAAAACAGCTTTTGCTCCAAAGGAAATAGTTTATCCTTAAACATGAGTGACCATGACCTGATAGCACGTTTCAGGGCACCTCAGGTAACATGCTCCAACATGGGAGTTACAGACTCAGAACAAAAGAGAGTTACAAATCACATTTGCTGGACATAATGATGGGACATCATACAGATGGGTGATCTCTGTTATAAGTCTCAGATGTGCTCTAGTGATACTCATCTTCTGGGTTGGCACAGGCTAGACATGTCAAGCTTAGCAATATATTCCAAGTTTAATCTACAAGTCAAGATGCTGTTAATCCAGATACCCAGGTGGAGGATAAATGGCTATTAAAAGTACTAAAGATAGCTTTAGGTCATTTTGGCTCTCACTGTAGTATTCTAACTCTGCAATCATGGAGATAATAATCAGTCAGTCCAGAATATCTTCAAACTGTGAGTGTTTTTAAGTAAATTCAATTAATATTGTCTGCTACCTTGGGGATACAGCATAAAAAGCTACCCTCTAGCCACCCCTAAACCTTTTGGCATTCCTCAGTGTGTAGGGTTTGGTGAGAAGACTTTCAGTAAGGGACAGATTATTGGCTGCTGCTATGATGACAGAAATTCAGGCCACTCAAGAATCTTCATTGTGAGAAGTCATCTGCCCCTCAGCCCAAGAGAAGCCCTAGTGTGTCTCCCACTAACTGATGGTGATCAAACAGGTGATACATATGACACTTGACTGAGTCCACTGAACAGTCTACAATGGTGTGTGTGTGTGTGTGTGTGTGTGTGTGTGTGTGTGTGTGTGTGCTCGTGCACACCCATGAACCTGCAAGCATGAGCACATGCATAGACACAGTTGACAATTACATTCCTCTTGTGGCCCAGAAACTGTTACTATGAAATATGGCAGGAGAGAATCCAAAGGAAGGCATTGCTGCTGTAAAAGCTCAGCTGCTCTCCAGACCAAAATGACTAATACTTTCATGTTAGATATTGCTGTGAAGTGTGGAGGATATATATATATATATACATATACACATATATATATGTATATATATATCATATACATACACATCATATACATATACATATACATATACACATACAGATGTATATATATCTTTTATTGCATATATATAATTTTTTATTATTTTACATATCAATCCCAGTTCCCTCTCCCTCCCATGCCCCCTGAACCCCTCCCCTCCCATCCACCACCCACTCCACAGGGAGGATGAGGCCTTCCAGGAGGGATCATCAAAATCTGTCAAGTTGTTTGGAGTAGAAACTAATCCCTCTTTCCTGCCTCTAGGCTAAGGGAGTATCCCTCCCTGGAGAATGTGCTCCCAAAGTCCTTTCGTGTACCAGGGATACATCCTGGTTTCATAGTCAGAGATCCCTTACACTGCACAGGCCTTCTAACTGAGACTCACATTAAGAGGGTCTGAGTCGTTATAATGCTGGTTTCACAGCTATCAGTCTGGGGGTTCATGAGCTCCCCCTTGTTCAAGTCAGCTGTCTCTGTGGGTTTTTGTAGCCTGGTCCTGACCCCTTTTCTTATCACTTCTCCCTCTCTGCAACTGGATTCCAGGAGTTCAGCTCAGTGTTTATCTGTGGGTGTCTGCTTCAGTTTCCATAAGCTACTAGATGAAGAGGATAAGGGTTTCTACAAGTCAGTATGAAGAAGGCTTCTTTCCTTTGGCCTTGCCTCTCATATCCACAGGGCCTCTGGGTTCTTACTGTTCAGTGAAAATACCATGCCTGATCATGTCAATCCCTTTCTCTCACCAGCTGTAAAATGCTACCTATTTAAAGCAAAATTTCGTTGTTGTTGTTTAAACAAAATTGAAAGCACCAAGGACATCACGAGAAAACCCACAGAGCTCAACTAACCTGAGCTCATAGGATTTCACAGACGCTGAACGTGCATGGGACTGATTGAGGCCCTCTCCATGTATGTAACAGTTGTGTAGTTTGGTCTTCTTTTAGGACTCCTAACAAAGGTAGCAGGGGCTGTCTTTGACTCTTTTGCTGGCTTTTGGGATCCTATTCCTCATACTGTATTGCCTTGTCCAATCTTAATAAAAGCAGAGGTACTTAGGCTTACTACAACTTGATATTCCATGCTTTATTGATATCCATGGGAGGCCTTCCCTTTCTCAATGAAAATGGAGGAGTTGGATGGGGAGGAGGCATATGGGAAGTTGGGGGGGCAGTGAGGAGAAGATGAAGGATAAACTAAGGTTGGGTGTAAAATAAATAAATAAATAAATAATAAAATTGAGACCACATCTGGTTGTAGTGGTGGGGTGGGGTGGAGCAGGGATAACTCAGTCTGTGAAGTATTTAACTTAAAAGCACTGGACCTGAGTTCAACCCCCAAAATCCAAATTAAGAAAACCTGGGTATGGTGTTGTGTACTTGCAACCCCAGCACTGGCAGATTCCTGGAGCTTTCTGGCCAGCCAGCCTAGCCCAATGGGTGAGTTTCAGGCCAGCGAGAAACTGCCTCAGAAAAAGAATGTGGAGTGTGGAGGGTACCTGAAGGACAACAGCTGAGGTCTACCTCTAGCCTCACATGCATGCATACATACATGTGCAACAGCAGCAGAACGAGAAAGTGGGGAGAAACACTTTGAAAAGAATAATCTTCAATAAACATGTATGTTCTTGAATGCTTGGATAAAGAAACAAGACTTCTATGACTTTGCAGGCTCTTGGAGATGCATAGTATCCCCCAGGATCTCAGGCCTGTGTAAAGTACTGCTGAGCCCAACTCATTGGAAAGGGGCCTCCTAGTCATAAGAAGGCCACAGCAAGTGACAGCTCCAACCATGGTGGAAAGGGCCTGTAATTAAAGGGAAGCAGCCTTGGGTCAGAAGGTGAGATGGAGCAGAAAGGAGGTGGGGCTGGGCTGGGCTGAGCTTTAGATGAATCAAGCCTTCATGTAGGGTGGAGACATCCTGTCTAAAACACATATGAGTGCCATTAAATCCTCTATAAAAGGTTCTTGTCCCACTGACAAGTACTCTGCACACTGCTTGACAGAAACTTGTCCCATCCTGCCTGAGCATTAGGTAAGTTCCCTCCAGAAGAACTTCTTGCTCATTCTCAGTGTCTTGGCAAGCTGAGCTCATGAATCCAGGGCTGTCAGTAAGATCTGAGCTGTCAGGTCTCAGTGGTGAGCTGGAGGTGGGAAGTGCCCCACAGAGTCCTTGGCATTGCTGAAGCCAGAGAACTTGGGAAATGCTCAGCTTCTGAAGCAATCCAGCTTTCTCCTCTCCCTGGCTCTAGCCTGCAGCTCTTCTTAGGAGATGGTGTGGGCAGCAGCCATGGAACCACCCACCACCCACACACCTTCCTAGATCAGCATAACTTTTTCCTCTAAGGTTCTGGAAGGTTCTTTGCAGGACTCAGAGCCTGTGGAATCAGAAGCAGTTTGTTTCTACCAAGCCAGACTATAAACTTGTTGTCTTATGGAGGAAGGGGTCAATGTGAACTTCCTTCCTGGCTCTAAGTTTTTACATAGGCAAGATGAATTTGTAGGTTTGTTCTAAGAATCTGAACCAATACTAAAAGGACACTTTGTTCTTTTCACTACAAAATAGGTCAGCAATTAGATTATATTCATGTAAATGTGTCTGTAAAACACAGAGCTATTTTTCATCTGAGTCAAGGGAGATATTTGAAGTCATATGCCTTGAAGCACACAGAGGGAAGTGTCTAAATTACTGACTCCTGGGCCAGTAGAAAAGTTGTACCTGCACAGCCCACCTAGGGTCTAGACTTCCTCAATCCTCTGACCACATTCACTTGCTTTTTCTTGAACCACGCCCCCTTCCCTTACTCCTTGCTTCTCTATGCCATCCTCTCCCACAATCCTCCTCTTCATCTCCAAGGTCCCTTCCCTCATTTTTCAGATGCTGCAAGCTTTAATCTCTCTTTGTACTCCAATCTTTGGCACTTCTCCTCCTTCTGGTCTCTCCAAGCCTTCTATTTGACACATCTGTGCCTCTTGCCCATTCAGTCACACCCATCTTCACCTTCACCTGCTAATGGAAATGAAAGGTCATCAGTCCTGTAGACTTGATAGAGCATGTGTCTCTTACAGAAGCCGACCTCTCGGACAGGTTCCAGGACTGAGGGCAGAGAGCATATGCACAGCATCTTGGCACCAGGAAGGCATACCCAACCCAAGTATCCCCAAAAGGTGCATCCCACCTTCATCCTGAATCCCTTCTTCAGGGAAGTTGAGAGGGTAGGGCTTGAAGCTTCTGGACAGCTCCAAACCAAAAGAGGGGCTAACCTCTGTATGTACTTATTGCCTTCTGATCTTCCCAGTAGGACACTACCACCCTTGAAACAGGCAAAAAATAATAATACATTCAAAGGTATTCTCTAAAGAACTAATTGGATATGGGTTAGAAGAAAATAATGTGTGACCTTCACAAATCTACCTCCTCTGAGCCCTTTCTCCACCTATGGAAATACTAGTGATAATAAGGGGCATAAGCTATGCTACACAGGAAAGTACTTTGTGAGCAGTTTAGTGTCTATAGTTGTACACAAATTATATATGTGTAAATGTGTGTAATAATAATGATGATGATACTTAATAGGTACCACTTAGCATAAACCAGGCATCAGCAGGGTGCCTTTTATGAATTATCTTCTAAAGCCTTTATGATAACTCTCTGAAGTGAGTGCTAAGTATCAGCTTCATTTACAGTGAATCAGCAGAGGCTCAAGAAAGTGAAGCATCTTGATCCAGTGAAGCCTGGCATTAAATGTTGACTCAAAAACATTCTTCTAAGTCCTGAGGGTTCACCCTTCTCATCATAAAGTGCATTTTGAGGAAAAGATGAAGGAAGGTAGAAAAACCCCAAATACAGGTGTAGACACAAAGGACTAAGCCACAGAGTACTGTGAGGAAAGATCAGGGGTTGTCTATGGTGCCCATACAGGGGCTTTCATGTCTTCCAGCTTATCTGCACAGATGCCTCAGTTGCTGCAGAACATTCATGGGATCATTGAAGCCTTCGGATGCTATGCCAGGTCAGAGGGTGGCTGCAAAGTGCTCACTCGGGGGGAGCTGAAGAGGCTCTTGGAACATGAGCTTGCTGACGTCATAGTGGTATGCTATTTGGGGGACGAGAGGGAGAAATGTGATAAGGACAGCCAAAGTGTGTTTACCTGCAAGGGCTCTTCCCTGGGGAATGTAAAGGGCAAACAGCCAAATCCATGCCTGTTAACTGATGGCAGTTGTCCAGGCAGACATGAAAGATGTAGGGGGAGAGATGTCACGGAAGGTGACACATCCTGGTCCTTAGAGAAAGGACTGGTGCTTGGTTTTGATTCTCTCTGTAATTTTAATGTCAAGACAAGGTAATGAGAGACTCCAAGGAGACAGTTCAGGCAAGAACAGACTCTTCAAATGGCCTAGAAGGGAAAGTAAATGTGACACAGTAACATTTCCTACATGGATCTGAAATGTGATTGGTTTTAACATCTGACAAGTAGTTGCTCTTGCTTTTCACAAAGCAGTTACTTAGAAATATCAGTTCACTCGTCAGGTCAAAAATGAGATTTTGGAGTACAAATTCTAAATAGCTGTGGGTGCAGAGGACTCTGAGAGACCAAGCCCAATGAGCAAACCAGAACTAGAGCCCCAATGTACTATTTTGTTTTCTTTTTTGCCTTCAGTTAAAATCTAATGCAGCAGATGGCACAATGAAATCCTTAGGTACTAGGATGGTGCCTGAGTACTTAGAGCAGCCTGTTGTCCTTCTAGGATTGCCCATCATGGGAGCTCTTGGATCTCCATGGGGCAAGGTTCCTGCTGTGCTTCCAGTGGGATTGGTGCCAGGGGCAAAGTGCCAAGGACAGCCACAAGAAGGAGACAGGAGCCTATACCAATATAGGACATGTATTCCATCTTCAATACATCTTTACCCAGTTGTTCATCTTGCACATCTAAAATCAAGAATATATAAAACAAAAGGCACTTCCTGCCCTTGAGATGCTACAACAAAAGACATAAACAATGAAACATTACACTGTGATGCTGTAGGCAGTGCTGAGGGTCTGAAAGCCTCCAGTCTGGAGTGGGTTGAGGAGCCTAGAAACTGAGTGCAATGGATCTGACCATGTTCTCCTTAGAGGCACAGTGCTGACATGTCCCTGTCTCTCCTCTAGAATCCCCATGATCCCTCCACAGTGGATGAAGTCCTGCGCCTGTTGGATGAAGATAACACAGGGACTGTAGAGTTCAAGGAATTCCTGGTCTTAGTGTTTAAAGTTGCTCGGGCCTGCTTTAAGACACTGAGTGAGAGTTCTAGGGGTGCTTGCATGTCTGACAAGTCTGAACAGTGGTCTCCTGGATCCTTGAAAGAGCTGGAACAAGGCCAGAGAGGTGGCACTGGAAAGGGAAGGGATGGAACAGAGCAGTGCTTTGAGGACAACAGCAGTGGACAGAGGAATCAGGCGTCTAAAGATCAGGTCAGGGTGGAAACACACACCCAGAATCAGGACAGCTACCCTATGCAGGTCAATAGTCATGACAGACAGGGGATGGTAAGCCAGCAAACACAGGTGACAGGACAGGTAGAACAGACCCGGAGAAGAGAAGACCAGAGCTGGACCAGGGAGAGGAGGTCAGAGAGGCAGCCACAGACTAGCCAACAGACAGCAGAGGCCATAGCTGGACCCACAACTCAGACCCAAGCAGATGTCTTCCAGACACAGGGGTCCACCTGTGGCCAGGACAGAGGGACTAACAGCCATAGCCAAGACAGGAGGCAGGAAGGGCAAGCTGCTACACAACACTACCAGGTACAGGCAGAGTCTCATACTCAGATACACACGCAGACAGTAGAACAGGGCTGGAGGCAGCGGACAGGAAGTGACAGCATCCAGAAACAGGGATCCATCTATGACCAAAACAGAGAGACTGACACTCACAGCCAAGACAGGAACCAGACAGGCCAGGCTGCTAAAGAACACCACCAGGCACAGTCAAATACTCACACCCAGACGATGGAACAAGGCAGGAGTCAGCAGGCAGAAAATAGCAGCATCCAGACACGTGGGTCCATCTATGACCAAAGCAGGACTGAGATCCATGGGCAAGACAGCAGTCATGCAGGACAGATAGGGACAGGACACTTCCAGACACAGACTTTGGAGCATGATAGGAGCCAGTCTGCAAGTCAGGTAGGGGCTCCAGAAAAGGGACAGACTCAGATACAGTCAGGCATGGGGCGAAGCTGTACACCAGCAAACAACTATGAGACAGAAGAGCCAGTACTAGGAGGTCAGGTCCAGACTGAGACACGCACTATGAAAGAAAGACAAGACTGGAGCAGTAATCACCCAAGTCCAAAGCGAGGACAGGGAGAGAGGGTACCCACTGTGATTAGAGATGAGTGGGTCAATGACCACACAAGGGAAATAGTGATTCGTAGCCAGGATCCAGGTAGTCTGCACTCTCGTGCTCCCTCAGCTCAGGGCCAGGGTGCAGCACAGATGGAGGAGAAGAAAGGAATCACAGCCAAAGGGCAATATTCCTACTTGAAGACAGACCAGCAATGACTTTCCATGACTCCAGTGTCCAGTACCAAAAGACAACCGGACTCACTCCATACCCTGCCCAGAAACACTGATGGATAGCCACAATTCTTCTTATTTGCTTCTTTCTCAGTGATCATTTCTACAGGTCATTTCTTGTCTAAACTCACTTCACTTCTCTTGCCTGCTTTGTGTGCTGGCACTCTTAGGAACAGGAAGAAGACATGGAGGAGGCATTGAATTTCCTACAGCTTTCAGGAGTTTTCAGAGCTGTTTTTATCTCTGCTATCTTGTCGTTCCATCCAAATGCATCAATAAAAGCTTAAGTGCTTACCTCTGAGTTCTAGCCAATAATTTCTACTGATGTGACCAAACGCAGGCTCTAAAGTGAGGATGTTGACTTGACCATACCCATCACTCAAGGAACACTGAATTGAGAAGACATGTGATTCAGAGAGTTAGAGAGAACTGAACAGAGGAAAGAGCACAATTTGTACTTGGCAGAGAGGAGTCAGGGGTTGCCTTCTTCTGCCAGATGATTTCTGTGACACCCCTCAAAAGACCAAGATACATACATATGTAGTTCATTTCCTGTAACTCTTGAATGTTAAAAGTCCTTTCCCATGCAGGTCACAGAGGACAGTGGCTTGAGGTTACTACTAAATGCAGAGAGACCCTTGGGAGCTATGCTGGGAAAGAAAGAAGGCAGGCGTTATCAGGGGCTTAGCTAGGAGTAAGAGGCCCTGAGTTTCACCCCCACCTCTGTGCCAACATTCACCCTTCCTGTTGTTGGGTGTCAACAAGAAGACATCAGGTTGAAACTCGAGGCCATTCTTTACTTTCAGAATTTGAGGGAGGTAAAGGTTTTTGTTTTGTTTTTATTGTATGTGTATGTGGACCACACAGGAGCCTTCAGAAGTCAGAAGTAGACATTAGATCTCCCTGAAAATGGGTTACAGATGGTTGTAAGATGCCATGGGGAGCTGGGAATCAAACCTGGTCCTCTGCAAGAGCAGCAAGCACTCCTAACCACTGAGCCATCTCTCCAGTCCAGGAAGGTAAGAGTTTCAAATCCTCAGCCTGAAGAGTCCCACTCTTTAGAGTGAAGCTTTTGACTAATATTTACAAACTTAGGAGTGGATACTTGTGGCACAGAATGGATAGTCTGGAAGCTCTCCTACAAGTATGCAGAAAGCCCATTTTTTTCACTGCAGTATCGGTTTGTGAAAATTTCTAAGAATAAAACAAAATCTAGTAGGCTGAATACCTCCAAAGATGTTCCTCTACCAATTCTAGAAACCTGTGCATATTTCTCCTTATGTCACCAAAGGGGCTTTGCAGGACACTGAGGTGGAGTGACTCTTGCCTATCTGAGTGAGCTCAACACAATCACAAAGGTCCTTTTGATAGTAAGATGAGGGGTTCAAAGGTCAGTGAGAGATATGATGGTGAAACCAACAGCTAAAGCTTTGATCAAGGGGCAAGGGATGCAAGTAGATTCTCAAAGTCAGAAAAGGAATGTCCCTAGTGCCTCTCAGAAGGAATGTGTCCTTCCAGCACCTTGATTGTAGACTTCTGTCCTCCAAGGCTGTAGGGATAAAAGTTCTGTAGTTTTAAGTTATTAAATTTGTGTTTATTTGTGACAGTAGAAATAGAAAATGAACAGAAAATAAATAACCATCACCAAGGGCAAGTGTAAGCATGTGGGGAAGATGGGGCTGGTCTTCATGAGGACAAATTGGTCTCCTATCCACCCTCACAAGACTTTGAGTACAAAGGCCAAAGATAGATAGCAAGGAACTTGACAGACCCAGGGAATGTCACTGCCATGAATTCTTCCTGGGGATTAATAACAAATACCAAGCTGGAATCACAGAAACATTTGGCATATAATCTGATAATGCATCATTATTTGTTTTGGGTTTTTGTTTGTTTGTTTGTTTTGGTTTTTCAAGACAAAGTTTCTCTGTAATGCTTTGGAGCCTGTCCTGGAACTCACTCTGTAGACCAGGCTGGCCTCAAACCCACAGAGATCCACCTACCTCTGCCTCCTGAGTGCTGTGATTACACCACCAACGCCTGGCCTATTTAAATACATCTAACTGCAGAACTCTGACAAAATGATGTGAACAAGGTAACAGAACAGCATTTAATGTTATATGCTATGAAAATATAAATATAAGCAGTTAACAAAAAGAGAAAGCTTACAGAAAGCAGAGTTAGGGAGCTAGCTGGTTGTCTCGTGTAAGGTCACACTTCTAAGGGAAAACTAGGAGTAAAGGAATTTTCTCTTCAAATAGACAGTGAAGAGGGGAAAAGGAGGAGCATATGCAAAGAATAATGACGTTTAAAAAGTCCTATTATTTAGACTAGAGAATGCATAGATAATAGGTAAGGGGGAATAGGGAATATGTAACATGTAACGATACACTGTAACAATGGGTGATACACTGTAACAATGGGTGAGTGTTCTGTAACACCAAAGTAAATAAAGTAAAACAGAAAAACAAAGAACAATATTATTTATGTATACCACACTTTTCTATAAACATGAAACAAAATACTATGAAAGGAAAAGCATCTGGTACAATTTATAATGATGTAAAGGGTTTGTCTCACTATTGAAAAAACAACTTTTCATATCTGATAAATCTGATAGAAAGAAATAAAGAGAGAACAAGATTTAGAGGGAGGAAGAGGGTTAGAAAATAATCTTTTAAATGAGGAAAATACAGATTCAAACAAAAATTTAAAAGCAAAGGTCAAGATGTTGATCCCAGATTAGGTCATAAAACAAGAAAAGCCAAGAAGGGCACTCTGGCTCCTTTCCCATGATGCCTCCTAGATGGCGGAGTATCAAAATGAAGCTGAACACATCCTTCGTAGCCATTGCCTATAAGAAACTCACTGAAGTGGATGATGAACACAAACTTCAGACTTCTTAGAAGAAATAGCTTCTGATGCTCTGGATGATGAGTGGAAGGGTTATGTGGTTCTAATCAGTGATGGGAATGACAAGCAAGGTCTTCCCTTGAAGTAAGGTGTCTGGACCCAGAGCAGAGTAATCCTGCTGTTGACTATGGGGCATGCCTGTTATAGACCAAGGAGAACTGGAGAAGAGAATCTACATCTGTTTGGGGATGCATTGTTGATGCCAGTCTTGGCAAAGAGGGGGAATGGTCCTGGCCTGACAGATACTACTGCACCTCAGAGCTAGCAGCATCTATAAACTTTCCTAGTCTCTCTAAAGAAGATAATGACCACTTGTATGTTGTCCAAATTAAAGCACCCCCAATTCAGAATCTAGTGAATCCATGTGCCCTGCAATATAAATGCCATTGTATTGCTCTAAAGAAACAACACACTAAAAATAAATAAAATAAAAAGGAGGCAGCAAAAAATGCCAATTTTTGACCAAGAGAATTAAGGACACCAAAGAAAAATGAAAGGAACATATTTCCAAGGGATGTCAGCTGTCCTTGCTGAGAGTTTCTGTCTGAGTACACTCAAAATGTAAGAATCATTCAGAATAACAAATAAATGACCAGACCTTGAAGACAAGAGGACCCTTTAAAATGCCAAGAGAAGATACACCTTTTAGTATTTATGCATTTGATATGGCCAGCTCTAATAAAGTAGAGACTATAGGAAACAGTAGAGAAAAAAATGAAAGAAGGCAATGTTACAAGAATAAAGCTTTTATTTGCCTTGGTTCAACACCGTAAATGCATATAAAGAACAGTTCAACCCATGTGGTACTCATGTACTTATTTTAAATATGTGTGTGTGTGTATGTGTGTCTGTGTGTGTGTGTGTGTGTATGAGAGAGAGAGAAATAGAGAGAGAGACAGAGAGAGAGGAATAGAGAGAGAGTGTGTGTGCTAAAGCTGGAGTTACAGGGGGTTGTGGGCCACACAATACAGGTTCTGGGAAAAGAAAAAGGGTCCTATAGAAAAGTTAGAAAAGTTGAGCTGGCGGGGGGGGGAGGCAGTGAGTGCAGAGGGAGTAAGGAGAAAGCAAAGGGGAGAAGAGGAGAATGTGTGGGACCAGGAAGACTGAGTCAGGGGAAGAATAGATGAGAGCAAGAAAAGAGATACTATAATAGAGGGAGCTATTATAGGTTTGAAGAGAAAACTGACTCTAGAAAAATTTCCAGAGATCTACAAGGATGACCCAAACTAACAATCTGAGCAACAGTGGAGAGGCTACCTTAAATGCCCCTCCCTGATAATGAGATTGATAACAAACTCATATGCCATCATAGAGCCCTCATCTAGTAGCACATGGAGACAGAAGCAGACATCCACAACTAGACACTGAGCAGAACTGGAATCCAGATGCAGAGAGGAAATAGTGATAAGAAAAGGGGTCAAGACCAGGCTACAGAGGCCCACAGAGACAGCTGACCTGAACAAGGGGGAGCTCATGGACCTCAGACTGATAGCTGGGAAACCAGCATAGGACCAACTCAGACCCCTGAACATGGGTCTCAGTTAGAAGGCCTGGGAAGTCTATGGGACCTCTGACTGTGGAACCAGGATATATTCCTGGTTCATGAAAGGACTCTAGGAGCACATTCCCCATATTCTCCATTGAGGGATACTCCCTTAGCCTAGAGACAGGAGGGAGGGCCCAGACCCTACTTCAAATGACTTGACAGATTTTGAAGATCCTTCCTGGAAGGCATCGACCTCCCTGTGGAGGGGGTAGGGAATGGAATGGGAGGGGGCAGGGACATGGGAGGATGGGAGGGAGAAGGAACTGGGATAAATATGTAAAATAAGAAAAAATAATTAAAAAAAGAAAAGTTGAAACCAACCCTAAGCCCTGAACCTTTCCATCCCTCAATATGGTTTTTATATGAATAACTTTCTGTGAGTATATGAATGCATATATACACATATACACATATGCATATGTTGTGTCTGTGTATGCATATATGCTCTCGTAGAGGTAAGACCCATGTCTTCACCAATTGCTTTTCACAGTATTTTTGAGACAGTCTCTCACTGTATCTGGAGCTCTCAGATTCAGACAGACTGTCAGGTCAGCAAGCTCCAGGGATCATCCTGTCTT